CATAACTGCAAAGAAAGCTTACCCAGTGGGAAGCATCATCCTGATAGAGGAATTCAGTCTACAATAAAGAAAATAGGGGTTTTTTGGGTATTTTTTTTAATGTCATTAGGAATCAAGACTTTTCACTATGAGACAGAAAGTAAAATGTAAGATCAAATTGAAACCTTGTGAGAATGAATTGGAATTGGAAATGTCTGTATGAACTTATGTTTTTCCCTTTAAAATAATTCTCTAACTCAGCCAATAAGGCTTAGAAGCGGTGAGCATCCCTGGTACCCACACTGCTGTCTTAAATGCCATTTCCAACTAAAAAGGATCAGGGTTCCTTAGTGAAATGGCTGCTTTCAGGTTTATAGCAGCAAATGTAGAAAATGAGCCTGGGTCTGTATCGGTGTGCAAGGAAGGAAGCTTAAGAAACTACTGGGGCTGTGTAAAGGACACAAGACCATCTTGACAGGGCCACCACTGCCCCAAATGTGGGACACTGTGTCCATCAGAAATAATGATTGCAGTGGATTGAAGCACAAATTTCAGATATGAAAAAATACTTCAGTTCATGATCATTAAAAACAGTAAAAACTTAAAGGTCACCTTAGAAGCTGTCTAGGACACCAACTCATTTTTCTGAAAACTGGAAAATAAAGTTTGAGCTCTATTTCAGGTAAACAAATTGATAAGGGAAAGTTCTTAATGGAAGAATTTCTGCTAATAGGTGAAAAAGGCATGTTCCTGAAAGCTGTTGAATGTTAGGTAGAAGGCTGATGGGGAGGCGTAATGGGTGGGTCAGACTGAACAGCTGAGTCCCCGGTCAATCATAATGTCACAGAAGGAGAGAATATGCAATAAGTGAGTCTGCAACCACCCATGAAGTACTCTTTCCACAAAGTGAAAGCTGTATCTAATCAAGCCTAGAAATAATGACCAGTTTATATGAAGTGCAGGGGACAGAGGAAAATAAAGACACACAATGGTGGCAGCCAACCAAGTCCAGAGTTTGGCTAATCGTACATGAAAGATGCCTCCGTTTATTCACCAAATAAGTGGCAAAGGGAAAAAGAAGGAACCACAGATTAAAAGAGATCAATCAACGAAGTGGATTGTATGGAGACCTTATTGGGATCTTTGAACAATTACAAAAAGACATTTATGGACCAATTGGAGAAATTTGATCTCTGATGAAATATTAGGGAAAATTGCTGTCATTCTGGTTTTTTGGTTTTAAATTTTTTATTTTGAGATCATTTTAGAAACGCATGCTGTTGTAAGAAGAATTAGAGTGATCCCAGTGCCCTTTCCCCCGTTTCCCCCAGTGCTGACTATTGTATAATATCACAGTAGTACAGGATCAATATACAGTCAGGATGCAGAACATGTCCAGTGCCACAAGGATCTCACTCGTTGCCCTTTTGGGTCTACGTGCACTTCCTACCCCAACCCCAACTTAACCCCTGGCAGCCACTAATCTCTTCTCCATGTCTTTAATCTTGTCACTTCAAGATGGAAATCACACACATTTCACATGGAATCACACACTGTGTAACCTGGGACTGGCTTTTTTCACTCAGCATAATTCTCTGGAGATTTGTCCAGGTTGTTGTGTGTATCAATAGTTAGTTCCTTTTATTGCTGAGTAGTACTTGTAATTGTTATAAAAATAGGTAATCACTTTGCAGTATATACATATATCAAAGCATTATGTTGTATACCTTAAACTTATACTATGTTATATGTCAGTTATGTCTCAATAAAGCTGGGGGGAAAACTCTATTGTAAAAGAGGATAAGATACTGTGCCAGGTAATAGAATGTTTCACTTTATTGTGGGGGAAAAACACCCTCATCTTTTAGAGATACTGTAGGATTTTCAGATGAAATGATTTAATGTCAGATTTGCTTTAAAATAATCTGAAGGAAGAGGATAATAAACTTCTGTATGTTCTTCATATATGTTAGCAGTTGTTGAAGCTAGATGATGGGTACATGGGGTTCAATATACTATTTTGTCTCCCTTGGGGCGTTTGAAATTTTTTATTATAAGAAGTTAAAAATATAGCAATATGAGCTCCTTATTTCGAGAGATGGAGCTAGCTACGAGAACTGAAAAATGGAGCCCATAAGTAAACAAACAGAGGGGTAGGGAAGTGTCTGCTTTCCAGTGGACATAGGCTTCCCCGGACAACTTGATTCCTTGCCCTGGGCATGAACTGTCTTTAAACAATTTTAAAGCTACTCTCAGAAAACAAGTTGGATAAGTCTTAATTGTGCAAATAATCTAAAATAAAACAAAAGATGAGTGTTTACTTCTGTTCTGTGACCTCCTTTACTGTATGAGCAGACATGTCGGTGATTCTGGAGTAAATGGAGTCACTTTAGGATACCTTCAGTTGTCCTTTGTACCAAGTCATTAACCAGCCTCCCCATTTCTAGGTCACATGGCTTCCCTAGGATTCCAGTCACACGAGGCTTCTGTTGTTTATTACAGTATACGCCGGGCTTTTGGATTGTAGTAAATTCAAATTTTGATAAAAATTGAATGAGATGAAACCTTCTTATGGGTTAGAGAAGCACAGTTAGATTTATTTCCATGACAGACCACAGGTGCTTTAAGCTTTCGTCTTTTCTTTTTGTTCTGAGTGGTACATGTCTATTGGCCCATGACCTTGAAAAAACAGAATGTTAGTCTTTTATCATGTTTAGTACAGTTTATGAAGTTTGGCTGTACTGGTTTCTTTTTTTACATTCATCCGTTCGATAGTTAATGTTCGTTGAGAAGCCACTGTGTGCCAAGAGCTGTTGTAGGTGCTGGAGACGTTTTATATAATAAAGATTTCCAAAATCCTGCTGAAAGGGGATTTTCTTTGCCTATGAATCCGAAAGTATTCTAGAGAATACAACCTGATTATATTCACTGTAGTGTATTAACTGACTGTAGGGCTTATGTCACAGAGTAATACTAAGCATAATTTGATCCTAAAAATATTCTTCCCCATATCAGTTCTCAGAGTAGTAGAAGGAATGAAAGAACAGAACAGCTAACACACAGCTCTTACTGTGGGGCCAGACCTTCTCTTAGCCATTTCACACGTTACCTTACTTAATACTCATCACAGCTCTCTGCTGTGTGCTGTTGTGATTGCTGTTTTGCAGATGAGGAGAATGAGATGCAGAGATGAGGTAACTTATCTAAGATTATAAGTCAGGATTTGAACCAAAGGCCTCTGGCATTAGAGGCCAGTGTTTCTTTTGTAACTCATCTATGGAGCCCAAATGAAGATTTTTCTTGGCTCCCACTTCCATTGACCAAGCTAGCATCTCCCCAACTGTTCCATAGAATGTCAACAGATGTTCCATGAAAAAAATGTTTCATGAAAAAATATTTAACCCAGCATTTTCCTAATGTTCATGCAGATTATTTATACTGAGGAATTCTCAGAGTTTGATGTTAAATTTATGTTGTAAATCACCAAGAGAAGCATTTATCTTGTACAGTTCTAAAATTATTTTTCCATGGAATGTTTTGTTTTTATAGGATATCTATAGATATTTCAAGGAACATGCAGTTCTGTGACATTTTTGTACTCTTGAATGTCATCCACTCTGTCATACCATTGGTCTCTCTGCTGTCACCCTAACGCTCGTCCTCAAGTGTGAAATCGACTGTGCTTGCTCCTGAAGCACCCAGCAAGCCCTCTGTGCTTTCAGGCTCGTGCTCACTGCATCAAAGGCCCTGTGTGCTTTGTTAGCTGCTTCTGCTGCTTCTCCGTGGGTCCACCCACCGTCTTCCACTACTTGCGCCTCTTCCTCTGTGCTGTGCTGCCTCACTTAGAGCGTTGCCTGTGCCATTCTCTTCTCTTTGAAAAGCCCTTCTGCACCACGCCCATAATCAACCAGAACAATTCTGACTTGTTTAAGATTTGACTTAGACATTACGTTTTCTGTGGAGCCTGTCTTGAAAACCTCCTGTAGGCCAGGTACCCGTCTTAGTCCACGTAGCGTCTCTCATGGTATGTCCGTATCACAGTTACTTGCCCTTAGACGGTGAGCTCCCTGAAGAGCACATCCCGTCTGTTTTTATGTCTCATACCTAGCAAGTTATTACCTGCACATAGCAATTTCTCAATAAATATTTGAATGGACTCCACTTTCTGGAAACATTAATTGTTAAAAATGTGTTCCTTATGTTGGCCTAAAGTCTGATTGTCTCCAATATTATCACATTGAATATGTTTCATTCTCTTTCCTCATAATAATCTATTATTTCAATATAGTTTTTGAGTTTCCCTCAAGTCTTTACCACATGAAACTTCTTTAAATTTAACATAGAGTGTTAGTTCTCAGTTACTGATACGGCAATAGTAGAATACTGCGTTCCAGGTATTAAAGAATTTAATATTGCATTTGAGATATTATTAAAGCAGTTTTAATTTTTATAGAAACCCACCTATTTTCCGTCAATTATTACCAAACCTTTGTCTCTCATCTTCTATTGGTGCTTTCCATTTTATTTTGACCTAGTCATTTTAATCTTGATTAAATCCTCTGTTGTGTGAAGCAGGTCAGCTAGCTTTGTGTTATCTTCAAATTTTACACACACACTTGTTTCTTCATCTAGATCTGTGAACAGAAACAGTCCCCTGAAGCTTCCGGCAGATAACACATTCCAGGTTAATCCTGAGTCATCCTAAGTGCATCCTAGTTAGTGATATCTCATGTCTCAAGTCTGTCCAGCTCTACAGCATCTAATCTGTTTTTCACTTATCCAGAACTTGTTTTGGCAAACACTTTGTAGAAATATAGACCATTACCCTACAATTTGTAAATCGAGTTCTACCTCATATTTGATTTGACTGTAAGCTACCTAGCCCCCTACTCCTGAGTCAAATTTCTAAAATTTTATGGAATAACTGGTCTTAAGTTTTTCTGTAAAAATTAGTTAAAGGATCAAAGTCATACATGGTGCTACATCTTTCTCAATTACAGTGTTTTAATACATTTTCTCAGGTTGTAAAAAGTTGCAGAAAGAAGAAAGGAAAGGGAAAGAAAAGCGTTCAGAAGTCTTTATATGGGGAAAGAGAGATTGCCTCTAAGAGGCCGCTCCTAAGTCCTATTCCAGAGCTGCCTGAGGCCTCGGAGATGCCACCTTCGGTTCCAGGCGTCCGGAGGACGTGCCCAGGTACCTGTCCTTTTCCTCTGCTGTGCGTCGTGTCTCTTCTCTTTACCCTCTTTGTTGCGATTTCACTCTCTTTTTTCTCTTTTTCCCATTCACTGTGTTAAGAGAACATAAATAAAGAGTAGCCACTTTTCCTCCCGTGGCCGTGAGGATTTGGAGTGAAGGAGCAGTGGTTTGTAACTTTTAGGCCACCTAGACCCTTTTCAGAATCTGATGGAGGCTCTGGATCCTCCCCACAGAGAAACTCTCACACAAGCTATTGCATATAATTTTAGGGGAAATAATTTTCTTCCATCCTGTTTCTTTTTGCTTTTTAAAGCATTTTGTTAAAGTAAAATGAATTCTGTATGGTGGTGTGGTCCATCATTAAAAGTGAACAAGCTGATGGCTCAGTAATAGATATATCTTCTATGAATTAAGGACAAAAATTAAAAAAAAAACAAAATTGCCCTGTCATGTTTTGGTAGATTTGGCACTACTAAGCATCTTCTAGAAATAGCATTTATAAATTGAATTTGATACCTTGATAATTTCTTTTAAAAGAGAAAGTTGGTTGATATCCTTGTTAGATAAAAATTGGATTGAAGTTGCATCTGGTTTGTAATGCCTGAGTTTTAAATTGACTAAATCATGCTGAAAATAATCAGTATGTGTTCATTTGGTGTGTCAATTTTGTATAGAATCATTTAAAAAATAGCTGCCTTTGTCAGTCATCAAATATTTATAGCTCACATTCCATTTGCAACATACTGTATTGGATTTCCAGTGGATTCAAGGATGAATGTGGTACATGCCACTGTAGACTCAGCTTCTGCCTGCTTCTTCACTTCAGGAAAGCACCAAAGTTGAAGCACACACACAACTCTGCATAGCCATGCGCACGCCCCTCCAGCAGGGTGGCGCTCTCCTCCCGCCTTGTCATGTGGGACGTCTTGGGACAGGGGTCGGCCACCCCTCCTCATTTGAATCTGGCCCAGTGCTGCTTATCCTTTCAGATTTAGCTGGGCTGGCTGCCTGTCCAGGAAAACGCTTTGTTCAAATAACACCTTCACTACCTGGTTTATAATGATCTCTCCAACTCCTTCCCCTACAAATTGCAGTCCCCTTGAGACTGGAAACGAAGCCTGATTTTCATTAAGTCCCCAGTTCCTAAGAGTTTTTCCAAAGATGTGGAAGCGATAACTGTTAGTCTGTATTTTCCATCTTGCATCTCATTAGAGAATTTCTTTTTAAAAATACCTGAATCGTTTTTTGTCTGTAACCAATGGTATCATCTGCTCCAAGAGTTTAAAGCGGTTTCCTTCCTCTCTATCTTTCTCTCTTCCTGCCTCCATCCCTTCCCCCTGCCTGCCTTCTCTAATATGTTAATTTCATGGAAAATACATAAATATCAATTTTTAAAGTTGTATAAAAAGCCCAACTGACGGATAGTTGGTTGGCACTTCGTGGACCGATTCTACCCTGTGTTAATCTCTAGCTTTACGTGACATGATTTTAAGTATCCAAATCATGGATATCTATACCTTTTCAAACCGGAAACACTGTTTTTCAGATTTTTGGCTCAGCTTATGTTTTGTATATCTTCCAGTTTTTATTTTGTTTAAAATAATTTTTATACTCATTTAGCCAGTTTAAAACTTTATTATCTGAGATAACAAGAGAGGCGGCCTCTAACAGGACTGAGATTTATTCATAAAGCCTGGATTCATTTAGGCTGTCTCTCAAACCAATTTTAAAAACCTTGATGATGGGCTGGCCCTGTGGCTGAGTGGTTAAGTTGGCAGTCCAGGGTTTCGCTGGTTCGGATCCTGGGTGCGGACGTGGCACTGCTCCTCAGGCCACCCTGAGGCGGCGTCCCACATGCCGCAACTAGAAGGACCCACAATGAAAATCTACAACTAGGTACTGGGGGGATTTGGGGAGAAAAAAGCCGGGGGGTGGGAAGATTGACAACAGTTGTTAGCTCAGGTGCCAATCTTTAAAAAATACTTCAATGATGCTTTTTCACCTGTGATGTGACACAGTGTGCCCAAAACACAGGCTATGCTACGCTGGCATATCTTCCTGTAGGATGAATTTTAGAGATTGAGGTGGAAGGGGGAGATTTTTAGAATATGAAACAAACTTGGCTTTATTTGAGAGTACAGTGCAGTTAATACTAATTTTTTAACACAGGGCATAAGACCCCGAGTGTCTTCAGGAAGTACCTTTATAGCTAAGTCCTCAAATCTCGCAGAATTCTAAGTTTTGTCTCCACTATTTCAGGGGAGATGTTGACAGAAGAGTTTCAGAACCATGATGTTGCCCATTTTCAGTAATTCATTTTTAGGGAAATGGAAAATGCCTCATGCTCATTCACCTTGTAGTGTGGAAAGTACATTAGAATAGAGGAAGCGATTTAGGACTCAGCTCTCATTTTCATGGTCTGAGGTTATGTGCTTTATTAATTCACACATTAAATGCATATTTTCTTAACCCACGGGTTGGGGAAGAGCTAAAAGAGAAAGAGGACAGATGTGGGCAAGTTCAGTGTAGCATTTGTAGGTCTTGTGAGTTTTGAAAGCTTAAAACACAACACAATATGGCACCTGTTTGATTTGGTAAGTTTATTTCCGTTGTTGCTTTTTAATTAGACTTAAACTTATTTACATGCCCATAGATGATTTCAACTCAAATGGTGAACTTGAAGAAGTGAAGCTTTCTGAAAGAAAGAATCTTTTGCCTCAGAACCCAGAAGATTTCCAGATGAATCAGGGCTTTAATAAAAACAGTGTGTCTGAATTCTGCAGCTCTTACATAAAAAGTTCCTCGTTGCTTGTTAATGCTACTTTTGATCAAGATTCAGATATAAATACTACAGAAATTAATGAAAATAAAAACACTTCAAAAGCAGAAATAAAGTTGGAAAGTGAAAATGAACTAAAACCTGAGACTGAGAATGAAAACAGTCTTGTTTCTTGTGGTTCTGTGACTGAAAAACCAGTTCTATCAGATAATCCAAAGCATGATTTTATCCTGCAGTCCCAAGAGTGTTTTTCTGCTTCTGGTCAAAATGTGGAAAACCCTTTTCAAATCTTTAACATTTCAGAAGATAGAAAGTGTGAAAGACCGGATGATTTCCTAGTAGCTACTGAAGGAAAACTGCAGACCAAGCATTTAATGTGTGACTCACAAAAAGAATGTGATTGTTCAGAAGATGTCTTAATTGACAGTATAAAAGAAAGTAAAAATCCAAGTGAGGACTTGGGAAGAAACTCCGCAGAAAATAGTGATATGCGTTGTAGAGAAAGGAAGCAGAGAAGGCGCTCCATGTGCTGTTCCGATGGTCAGAGCTTACATCTGGAAACAAGTGGAAGTCACAAACTTTCCGACAGGGTGAGCAGCTCTGCAGAGGTTAGTTTAGGAGATTCTGAACTGTATAAAGATTTATCTGAGTCCATAGAGCAAACCTTTCAGAGAGGAAGTAGTGAAGCAAAAGTAAGACGCAGCACAAGGCTACGCAAGGATGTGGAAAATGAAGGGCTTGTGTGGATTTCACTTGCATTTCCTTCCGCTTCCTGGACCTCCCAGAGAACCAAAAGGAGAACAATATGTACAGTTGACGACAGAGGATTTGAAAGTGTGTCCCCCAGAAAAGAAACTGTGTCCTCCAGACAGAAACCGTGTACGCTGCCCTCCACGTCAGCTCAAGAAAACAGCGAGGGCCGTGCTGCCAGTTCTCACTTACCTGGGAAGAGGAGGAGGAGCTTTTGTACATCTGCGCTTGCAAATACTAAGAATGCTACTCAGTCAAAATGCTACAAAAGAAGATCCTTTCTCCACCAGAAGGGAGAAGGCTCTCTAAATGACTTTGAGAGAACGGGACATATCAGAGAACCAAAGCAATAACTGACATTTCCTGCAGAACATTTTGTAAGAGAGAAGGTAACCGTCCATGCTTAAAAGATTCTTTCATTCTACTTCCCATCCTTTGTTCAACTTCAGTGTTTTAAAAGTTTCGAATAAATAAAATCATTTGAGTTGAACCTACTTTTAAGTAGAAATAAGTGAATTTCTTCATTCAAAAAGAAAACATTCTATTAAATATGTTCCCCCCAAATGGTAAATCTTTTATTAGTATTTTGCTAAAAGGATTCTTTTTAGACCCACCAAATGTCTCAAGATTTATTTCGTGTTAGTACACATTTACCACTGAAAGTTTAGAGTCTGCTGTAAAAATGCATCTTTTAGAGTTGACGTGTTATATCTAGATGAGAACGGTTTTTTAAATGACAAATTAATAGAATTAATGTAAGCTTATGAAAATTAAAGGTAATGCAAGGTTGCAAAATGTTAAAATGGGGTAAGATGTATTTTTGTTTTAAAATACTGCAAAAAAAACCGTTAAAAAATTTAAACAGGAAAGATGGAAATTATAAAACTTTTCTCTTTGGGTTACAGTTAAGAGAAGCTTTAATGACTTACTTTGTCTCAAATGAAAATTTTATTTTAGTAGTTTAAAATCAAATATTAAGCGTGGAATTTTGGAAAATTCTTTCGATAACCAGAAGATTATAAATTTTTTTCCTTCAAGCACGATTCTTACATGCTTTGTGGGGTGGGAGATTGATTTTTGGTGACAATATGGCAATTTAGTTGAAGACTTATTTCCCAGATTATTCAAATTAGTCACAGGTAACTTGAGATTTAATTCATGGGTCTTAATAAAAAAAGTTTTAAATCCAGAAAATCACTCGAAGGGACCCTAGAAAATTAGATTACTAACATGAAGCATGATGGGAGGATACTGATTTCTTTTTTAACCTGGCATTTTCCAGCATTTCTAACTTTTTATTTCACAATATCAAGTACTGTCAGTTGTCTCACATTTTCTAGTTAAGCTTCAATATATTGTATCACTATTTTGGATAGCAGTTTGAAAATCTAAATTGCTATATATCTGGAATTTGTGAATATGCATAAATCATCGTATCATTAAACAATTGTCTTTGAAATCCTTTAAATCATTAAACTCTCCGTCTCGTGATGGCAGAAACATGTTAACAAATAGCGCTCTCTATAAATAACACCACGGGGAGGAAGGCCCCTGCTGAGCCGTCTCCCCTCCTCGGATGGAGACTATTTGTTACCTTCTTGGCACCAAGAGGTCTGGAACTCCTGCTGCTAGAGACTAATGTATTTCACATTAACACTCAGAGTGATCCCCAATTTCTCCTGCTAAAGGGTGGATTGTTTAAAAAGTTCTTTTATCTTTACACGTAAATTATTTATGGACTTTTTTTTCTCATTTATAGTTTGATGTGGTTGGCAAATCTCTGCAACTGAAAACAAACCAAAAAAAAAAAAAAAAGAACTTATTAATTTATGAAGCTTTTTGGTTTTGGTGATTTAAAAAGAAAAAACACTTTCAGAAACGTAAGGTGTTAGAGGGCTTTGTTTGATTTGTTATATTTCTCCTTCGTTTAACTTGAAGCCTAAAAATGTTTGTTCTTTTCTCCCCTTTTTGTTGTTTGATGATATATGATCTCAGTGTATTTGAATTGTAGGAATTTCACATGCTTTGTTTTATTTCTCAAAATGTGCTAATGGAGGATGAGGGAAACATTTTGATCTGTGACTTTTTGGCTTGATTTTTCAAATATATAATTGTCTCATTTTCTAACATTTACAGTTAGAAATATAAACACTTGTTTATACTTCTAGTTTATATTTATAGTTCTGTTGATTTCAAAATGTTTCAGTATAAATGTTTTGTTGATACTTGTAAATAACAAATAGGCAGTTTTCCTAAAAAGAACAGGTCTGAGAAATCAAAGGGTGGGCGTAATTTTGTCCACCGGCTCCTTTGTATCATAAGATCTGTGAAAAGTTCATGATTTCTGTATTTGATCATGCTTGATTGTTTGTAACTCTTTCTTTTCATTAATGGTTAAATCAAAAACTTGGCTTCAGGAGAGTTTTTTCTGTCTGCCTTATCTTTTTTCTACGGTAACCCTTGATATTTTGCCTTAGAAATGTCTTCTAGGTACTTTTCCTGCCCCTGTAGATTCTCGTTTGTTCCAGAAGATGGCAGCATGACATCTGAAGTTTTTCATCCCATACGCTTTACTTAAAGCCAAGGCAGCTCTTCACTGTTGCAGGGGGTTCTTCCTTTTAACTTTTATTTTTACTCATTTTTTTTTTTTATTACAAAAGCAATATGTGTCTATTGAAAAAAGTAGAGAACTGTACAAAATTAAAAACTGTCTTCCCCTACCCCGTGCCATCATCCTGCAGCCACACTTTCCTCCCCACAGCTTTCTACGTGTAAACACTAACAACTGCGTACATCTTCCAGACCCTTGCCTGTGTAAATGCAGATATAGGTTGTGTTGTTTTCTAGTGGGATCACTACAGTGTGCCATTCTGCAACTGCATGTTTTTATTCAACAGAATATCATGAATATACTTCAGTATTTATTACGGAGAGCCCTAGTGCTACCTCAGTCTTTTTAACTCCTGCATAGAATATCTACAATTTAGTCAGCCATCTCCTTACTAGTTGCTACTTGTCTCTGGTTTTTTTGTTATTGAAAATTCTGCCACACTGGGCTTGTGTGAAAATGTCTGTAAGGTAAATTCCTTGAAATTAAAATTAAATGCTTATTCTACTTCTCTTCTATAGCTCTTACCTGGCAGAATCGCTCTGTAAGGACGCTGGCATCCTTACCTTCTTTCTGTCTCTCATGTTCGTCTCCTGCCACGTTGCTTCCGTTTTCCCTCACTGCCCCCAAAGGTACTTACTTTATGAACTGAGGGTGAGGCTTAGGCCTGACAATACATGGAGAAATGATTAACACTACCTGATTCATACTTTAGATTCAAAGAGCTTTTTTTTAAAGTCAGGTTTATTGAGGTGTAATTAACCTACAGTAGAGTTTACCCTTTTCCAGCATACAGTTTGAATTTGGGCCGTTCATACAGTCATGTGCCCATTACCACAGTCAGGTAACAGAGCGTTTCCATCACCCCAAAAGAAGTTTCCTTCTACCTCTTTGCAGTTAGTCCCCTCTTCCCCAGTCCCTGCCCCTTGCAACACATCTGATTTCTGTCCTTAGAGTTTTGCCTGTTTCAGAATGTCATATGAATGGGACCATACAGTATATATCTTTTTGTGTCTGCCTTTTTAAACTTAGTATAATGCTTTTGAGATTCATCCATGTTGCATGTTACAAATAGTTGATTCCTGTTTATTGCTAAGTGGTGCTCCATTTTATGGGTGTACCACAGTTTGTTTTTCCATTCACCAATTGATGGATATTTGGATTTTTTCTGTTTTTTGGCTATTACAAATAAAGATGCTATAAACATTCACATATGGATCTTTTTATAGACACATGTTTTCATTTATCTTGGGTAAATACCCAGGGGTGAGATTCCTGGGATGTATGATTGGGATATGTTTAACTTTTTAAGAAACTGCCAAGCTTTTCCATAGCGGCTGCACCATTTTGCATTCTCACCTACAACACATTGTTTTAGTTGCTCCACATTTTCACCAGCACCTGGTATTGTCAGTCTTTTTCATTTTAGGCATTCTAGTAGGTGTGTAGGAGTATCTCATTGTGGCTTTGATGTCTGTTTCCCTAATGACTAATGATGGTGGACATCTTTTCCTGTGCTGATTTGCTGTCCTTATGTCCTCTTTATTGAAGTGTCTATTCACATCTCTTGCCCCTGTTTCCTTTTGTTGTTATTGTTGTCTTATTGAATTGAAAGAGTTCTGTGTATATTTGGATACAAGTCCTTTGTTGGATATGTGTTTTGCAAGTTTTTTTCCAGTCTATGGCTTGTCTTTATTTTCTTAGCAGTGTCTTTTGAAGAGCAGATTTTAATTTTGATGTAATCTGACTTACCAGTTTTTTCTTTAATGGTTCATGCTTTTGTGTCATATCTAAGAAACCTTTGCCTAACTCAAGGACACAAAGATTTTCTCCTATGTTTTCTTCTAGAAGTTTTATAGTTTTAGTTCTCGGGTGTTAGATCCACTTTGAGTTAATTTTTCTATATTGCGTAAGGTGAGGGTGGTTTTGTTTGTTTTTTTCATGGAGACCATTCACCATTTGTTGAAAAGATTATGTACTCCTCATTGAATTATGGTGGCACTTTTATTGAAATCAATTGACCTTTTATGTGTAGGTCTATTTTTAGACTTTATTCTGTTCTATTGAACTAAATGTCTGTTCTTAAACCAACAACACACCATCTTGATTACTATACGACCTTTTTTTCTTTACTGTGACTCTTTATCATAGCTTATGTTTAAAGTTCTTTTTGTGAGGGAGGAGGCCAGTAGAAGCAAATGATTGACCAACCAATTCTATATAATTGTATAATTCTACAATTATACCCACAGCTGTATTACCATTTAGGGCAAAAAGTCAAGAATGAGCTATCAGAAGTATGGTAAGGAAGACACCTTCCCTGGGGTGGGTACCTATATATTCAGCCCAATCTTGTAGACTAGTTGGCTACAGTTCATGATTTAAAATTGTCACCCTGAGTCATTGTGAGATTTAGTCATTGAGAGAGAATTCTCTTTTTGAACACTCCAATAGATAGCAGTAAGAAAATGAACTGGGTTGAATTAAAATGAGGTTAAAAATTAAGTTTGCTAAATTATCTAGTATGTCTGAGTCATTTCATAAATTAAAGTTTTTATTATAGTTTGGATTAGTATAAAAATTGTCACTGTCATTACTTGGAAAGTAGCCCTCGCATTTGAGACGTATTTCTTAACACAGGAAAATTTCCCTGCAACACATTGTCCCAGGTAGGCAGATGGTAGATTCATTAACGTGTGTTAGGCATTAATTTCTCTTTGTGATCACTGCCTTCAAGATGCTCAGTTTTCTCTTCGGGAGCAGAGTTGCAGTGCAGGGTATGGTTATAAAGGAATGCCCTGGGCCTCTCAGCCCTTGAAGTGGTACCAAGTTCAGATCACGTAAGTTTGCTTTCTTTCTTTCTGGAAGAAGTGATGCTGGAACAAAGTTCATTATTAGGAGTTTTAGAGGAATGGGGCTCCATAAGGCACATTCTATTCCAAACATCCTTTCACTATTTACTAAAACTAGGCAATGTAAGTTGGCCTCATCTCATACACTTTTTAAAGTATTTTTCTTAATTTCGCAACTTATGAATACATTTGGAAAGACTGAAATCAGAATTAGACTAGAGATTGTGAATTGTACATAACAAAGTTTTAAAGAAATCTTTCCTCTTGAAAGCTTATGCATTTCTGTCTTTTGTACTACCGGGTTTCTTTGTACTATGTTTGAAGGTTAACTCTGGGCTTGGAATCCTAGATCAAGTGAGCAGAACAGGGATGGAATTAAATTACCATAAATAATTGCACATACAAAAAAATAGTGGGGTCTTTTTTGGTCTTAAATTTATGTGATGATTATTTCATAGCCTTGTCTTGGCTCTAGAAGGGACTAATTGCTAATGTACTATTGCCTAACAATTTCAAGTTTGTTTAATGTACTGATGTGTTCATTGTTCTACATTCTTTGATGCTTTTCTGTTTTTTATGAAATCATGATACAGATTACAAGTAACATAATAGCTTTAGTGAGAAGATGAGTAATTACTGCCATTCTACTGATACATATTTTTGTCCCACGTCTTCAACCAAGATCATAGTTAGGCTGGTTGTGACCTTAATTTTAAGATTTATTAGAAAGGTTTTTAGAAAATTTTAGGATATTGGGAAGCAACTATTTTCGGGAACTGCTTGTATTTTTTTATAACTTTAAGCGTTATATCACTTATATGAAAAGGGACAATGAATAAGCATGCATACTCAAGAAAAATACAAGTTTGCATTTCCTGAGAGATAGGTTGGGATTTCCAAAATTTCCGTTGACCAGTTTGAGAGCAGTCTCTCTTAAGTCTTCCTTTTTCTCATTCGTCCATGGCCCACACATTGTCTGACCAAATGGTTTAATTTACATTCTCTGTGATAAAAGTGGCCTGCAGGGGTGCAACAGCTGGCATTTTGGTTTTAGATGTAATTCACAAAAATTCAGATTATGTAATTTTTCAAAGTTCCAAATTCCTAAGTGTATTTGTGTGTGAATTTTTAAGCTCTGCAGTGTAAAGATAACTGTTTCATCTATTTACTACATCTGATAATTTCTTTATTCTCATGGCTTTGTTCACCCACTTAAAATTTCCTTTTTTTGAAAACAAATTCTTCCACTTTGGTAGTGTTTTGTGATGTTAATGTAATAGTGAGTTGTTAGTGGCATTTCGATTTTTCCCATTTAAAATCAAACTGCATTTCCAGTGTTCTGATATCCTGGGCACTTCTTGGTAACATGAAGTAAATGTCAGTTTTTTCTCTATTTAGGCAGATCCAATAATTGCCTAGTAGTACCAGGTGTTTGCAAACATAGGTCCTTCCAAATGTATGTTCCAAACAGTGAAATAATTTTTTTCAGTATAACATTGGTGTCACCCAGTTGAAACTTCATAGAGAAAGTGAGTAAAAGGATTTTTTTTTGGTTCAACTAAGTTTAGTTCAGATGCCAGGTGCTTGGATATAAAATCTGTGATTGTACGCCTAACATTTGTACATGTACAATGTGTTCATTTTCTAATTGTTCGTAACAGAGCAATAATCCAGTGCGACCAGTCTTTTCTTGTTTTAAGTATACGTTGGGAATGAAGGTTTCAGAAGTATTCCCTAACTCAAACCTGAAAAACCTGGTGTTAGTCTTGGGTGATTTCCAGTGACCCTGTGGCTCCCTTCTTCCTGCCCCCTGTGTAGATTTGGAACTGGGCAGCCATTTTTGTTTTTGGAAGGGAAAGGAGACAGATATAATGAATGAGTTTTATTGTGCAATATTTCAAACTCTCTTGAATGCATTCGAATGGGATGGAAACTGTTCTGCCCTA